AGATTATCACGTTAGAGTAAGTATGATAAATGAATTATATGGTAGAGTAATAAGGAGATAGAGTTAGTTACAATGGTAGCAGAGTTGGATAAAAACAAAGTTACATGACAGATTAGTATCATTTTACGTTTACTAAAATAGCACTGTAACAGATTTAACGTAATGTAGTGGCAAAGTTAATGGATAGAGAGAATGAATTTAGTTATGCGGAAGAGTAACAGGTAATGGCAACCGACTTAATAAGCGGTACCAAGTTACTTGATAGATAAATCGAAATAAGTCTATCATAACGTGACAGAGTTAATCCTTATGATATAGTTATCGAGTAACTCTGTCATAACGTGCCAGAGTTATGATTTACTCATATAACACCCAATATTTGATGTATTAGCACATAGTTGTTAGAGTTAGCGAATATGTGGTGATAGATTTATAAGAAGTGACATTCGTAGTAGACTTAAGACGGGCGAACATGACATTATGAATTGTTGATTTTACCTTTAATTTTTTTCATATTACGCCTAAAACCGAACAGTGACGACAGACTTATTAGTAGTAGTGATAAGTTATATATTAGTGACATAGTTAAATTTCTCATAATTATGTCAAAATGAGTTCTCAACCATTTGGAATGACAATTTTGGTCTTCTGAGAAACAAAAAATAACACAAAAATCTTGCAGCAAGGGAGAAAATATTAGAAAAGAAGAAGAAAAAGAAAGAAGAAGAAGTGGAAGAAGCAAAAGGAGGCATATTGTAGTTAGGATTTTGTGAGGCTAATTCCCGTCGAACAAGTAATACCTCGATCTCAAGTAACACGTCTCAGTAAATATCACGGTGTCAAAATTCAACAGAAGATGTCGGTGTAACACCCCTGAACCATCATAGTAACTTGATCTGGATCCGATCAAGTTACTAGAACACATCTAGCAACCCAAGTCAGTCCATCCGCGGGTATCGTTCTTCACAAACACGACCTAAGGCTTTTCAACCCATCACATGTCCGCGAGTTGTGTTAGTCCGGACAAGACTAATATCAGTAGTACACAAGGCTTTTTATGAAAACTCATTTTATTAATCTTAAAATACCTCAAAATACATTCGCGTTCGGCTAGCCAAGGCCTAGTGCCTAAATCAAATCATACAACATAGATTCAAATATATCTTTCTTTACAAAGGCAACAAACTCTACACCAGCTTCCCTGCGTCCGTGCTCCCCTTTAAGGTTTCCCACTGCGGTTACCTGCAAAAAAGAGTGTGAGGGGTGAGCGCTAATCGTTCAGTGAGTCCAGGCTCCCCTAAACATGCATTATTCCCAACCCGAAACCCAAAATAAAAATCAAAATGTATGCAAGCAAAACACAATCGTGCGTCAAACAATTAATGCAACATACGAATATACTCAATTGAGTATACTCGACAAAGAATCACACAATTACACTTGGGAAAGCGTAGTGAACACAATCAATACGAAGCATGCATGCAAAACTACACTATCCGAGCTTACGCAGCGGAACTAGTCCAACTACTCTCTTCTAAGGCCTTTTTCTTTTACGCGATTCGGATCTTCCATTCCACTAGGCAATGTTTCCCCGACCTTTAGCCACAAAGGCTAGAAGGATCAAACATCCCTTCTCTAAACCACACCGTTTATAAGAGATCACATCTCTCACGATAAAAATTTTACTACCTCGTTAGGCAGCCTCAGGTGGTAGCGAGCCATTCCAAGCCGTTAGGACAATCACGAAAATACTTCACATACTATTCATAAGAATGACTAATATTATTACTTACGACGAGCCTATTGACCTCAATACCACTCGTACTAAGATCTACCTCTCAACCTAACCTCACACTACTCGTAACTACTACTACTAGTATGCAAACTAACCACAAGCAAGTTAATCAAGCAAATGCAAGACTAAAAAACAACAATCAAACAATCAATCAATAATCAATCAATAATCAATCAACAAGAAATCAAGTAATTCTACACTATCATGTCAACAATTAACAAATTATTGACCACCCAACAAACGGGTAACATAACTGTTAAACTACAACATAACAGTTAGTCTGAGGTTATCTCGAGCATAACGTTTACACTAACGTCTAGTCCAACCTCACATCACTATACAATTACTTAAGCAATTAGTTAAAACTATAAGCTAAGTAATCATACGACAAAATCAATCACCAATCTCCATTCAATCCATCCTAGATCTATGCATAATTCTACGCTTAACTAATAGATTTCATCTAAAAGTTAATAATTATGCAACCAAATCAATCAATAATCCTAGATCTATTAACAGAAAGTAAACAAGCAACAATCAATCTGGTTTACACGAGTTCTATGAACTACATGTAACCACATGCAACACACATAACCCGAACTCACCTTGGCCTGGATGAACGGGAAAACTCTATCCTTGACCGCCTAGATCCCGATCCGATTAAGCTTTCTCCAACGCATACTAACGATGGATCTAAGCCTCGGACTAGAAATAAAACTTAGAAAAATATTCTAAAAAGAATAAAAGATTAAGGGCAGAAAACTCTTACCGATTACCCGACTAACTCGATTCTCGACTACCCGTCAAATGCTCCCGACGACCACGGCTTCTCCGTAGAAGCTTCACGAGCTATCTAACTTTAATGCGATATTTTTTGTGGCTTGAGGAACAAATGACGAGTTTATGCTATTTATTGGGGTTGGACACTTGCATGTTATTTCAATAATGAGAGAGGACTTAGTCAAGGTTGATCACTCAGTCCTTACCTGTTTTTCATATGCATGAACGTCTTATCTAGCATGATAGATAAGGCAGCAAGAAACAAAAAAAAATAGGTTACCATCTCAACTGTAAACAAATGCAACTCATGCATCTCTGCTTTGCTGATGATCTGATGGTCTTTGTAGATGGGAGTAAAAAATCAATTGAAGGAGCTTTAGGAGTCTTTGAAGAGTTTGTGGTCCAATCAAGTTGAAAGATTAGTCTTGAAAAATCCACATTGTATATGGCAAGTGTTCCCACGGCTGCAAAGGAAGAAATAGTGCAACAATTCCCATTCGAGAATGGAGCATTACCTGTTAGATACTTAGGGTTGCCACTGTTAACAAAGAGGATGAAAGTTGTCGACTATCTTTCTCTAATAGAAAAAATACGCTCAAAAATCAGTTCATGGACTGCTCGAAGCCTCTCCTTTGCATGACGGATCCAGTTGATTAGCTCGGTAATCTTTAGTCTCACAAACTTATGGATTGCAGCTTTAGTATAAGGGAAATTGACAAGTTATGCTATGCTTTCTTATGGTCAGTACCCTCCTTGAATCCTAAGAAAGCAAAAGTATCCTGGTCGGATGTTTGCACTCCCAAGAGCGAAGGTGGATTAGGTTTGAGATCAATAGAGGAAGTGAATAAAGTGTATACTCTGAAACTGATTTGGAGAAATTTGTCTGCAAAAGGCTCGATATGGGTAGATTGGGTTAAAAGATATCTAATCAAAAGTAGATCGTTTTGGATAGTAAAAGACACCTCCACATGTGGATAGTGGATTAGGAAAAAGCTACTGAAATATAGAAAGACAGCAAAAAAAATTTATCGAGTTAATGTAAAGTATGGTGAAACAAGTTCTTTTTGGTATGATTCATGGAGCTCACTTGGATACGTCCACGAGATGCTAGGAGAAAGAGGTTGTGTAGACTTAGGAATCCTGATATCAAACACAATATAGCAATGTGATGAAAATGACCATGAAGAGAAAACAAAGACAACCAAATCTTAATCGTGTTGAGGAGGAAGTGAGAAAATAAAAACAGAGCCGTAGTGAGTTGGAGCACGATATCACTTTTTGGAGAGGAAAAATAGCTGTTACAAGCGGAAATTCATATCAAAGGAGACGTGGTTACAACTTCACGTAGCCAAGCCACTAATGGAAAGTCACAAAGATATCTAGTTCTCGTATGAACACCAAGGTGTGCATTTATAACTTGGCTCGTGGTAAAAAAACAGAGTCTCGACAGGTGATAGCTAGGATGATAAAGTGGAACCAGAATGCAAATTCGAGCTATGTATTTTCAACGACCCTATGGAAACAAAAGGCCACCTGTTTTTTATGTGTCCTTATTGGAGAAAGGTATGGGAAGAGCTAGTGGGTAGCTACTCTTAAAAAGGTTCTCGACAAATTGGCAAGATATTATGAAAATATTTACGGAAAAAGATTTCGACAAAACAAAAAAGTTTCATCATCAAGTATGTATTCAAGATACCAATTGATAGATAAAAATTTTCGATACAGGATGATCACAATTCTGACAAGAGGAGAGGAAAATATAAAAAGGGTCTACAAGTATGGTTTGCATACGACATCGATGATGAAATCTCAATGTAGTTTTTTCTAAAAAGTTTGTATTGAATTGTATAAACGTTAATTTAACATTAAATTATAAAAAAACGATGGTCAAAAAAAATTTAATGAATAGTGTGTCAAAGTTCCACCGACACCAAAAAATATAAAGAACTTGACCACGACAAAACTAGAGCACCACTCAAAGATTTCTCATGATCAGAAAGTATATTATTATATAGTGGACATACAAGCTTATTGTCAAAGTTCCTTTTTTTTTTTTTTTTGACGAACAATAAGATTAGGATCTAGTTACGACTACAAAAAAAGAATGTTAGACAAACTTGAGAAGATCCACTTCTTTATTTTGTTATTTTATATGTTTATCAACAAGTTTTGATCTTCTCAAGTTTTTTTTTTTTAACTGAAAAAGGTTGGATCTTAAAGTTAACAAAGGTCCCAAGTTAAAATTAAAAGTCTTACAAGTTAGGATTCATCAATTTATTAATTTAGATTTAGATAAGATACATGAACATAATTTTCATGACAAGAAAACAGAAAAATAACAAACAAAGATAGATGCACGGTTCTCCTGTCTTTAACCTCTCTCTAAGAGGATAGGAACATACAACAACATTAATTAATAATAGTCAGAACCAGATCTGTTTTATTTAAGCGAACCTCCTCACTTCTTCACCTACAAAATCAACAAAAGTTTAACAAATTAAACAATTATTGAATATAGTACATGCCTGAAATTTTGATAATCGACAATATTGGTTTTTTTTTTTTTTTTTTTCCAGATCCAAACCTTAGGAGATATTTGTTCATGAGTTAAACATTTAGGAAAAAAGAATAACCTTAATCTTATATCTACAACTGAATAATACGTAGTTTTTTCAAGATCCATATTATTTTTCAAGATCCAAAACTTATAAGTAAATATTTGTTCATGATTTATGTATATGATTAAAAAGTAGAGAAAACAAACCTTAGTCGCTGTCGCTGTCACTGCTGCTGCTGTGGTGACCATCATCATGATGTTTCTTCTCCTTCTTGTCCTTCTTCTTTTTCTTCTCACCATCGTGGCTTTTGCCTTCTCCGTCGTGGCTTTTGCCTTCACCACCGTGGATCTTGTCTTTGATCTTGTCAACAATACCTTCTTTGTGCTCACCACTCTTGTGCTCGTCGACGTGTTTCTTGTGTTCCTCTTCCTTCTTGTGCTCACCTTCCTTGTTGCCTCCTCCAATGTGGAGTGCATCTCCGATCTTGTTGATGAGTCCTGCCATATCTTCTTTTTTTCTCTTTCTTTTGTCTTAAATCTCTCTTTTTTTGTTTGGTTGCTTGACGATTGGATCTCAAAGGGTCTCTATATATAGCCCCAAATGGATAATTAATACTATATTTTTATTAGTTTGTTTTTTTCTCTGAGTTTACTTTATAGAAAGAGAGATATATGGCGTGGCGAAGATAAGATTAATTTTGATACCAAAAAAAAAAAAGATAAGATTAATTCTTCCAATGAGCTGTACTGTTTCTTTAATTGGAAATAATGATACAATTAATTGGGGTAGATTATATTCCTTTAAAAAGAAGAAGATTATATTCTCTTAGATATTTTCAACTATGTGGTTGCAATTTTTATTTCTTTTATATACATTTTAAATGATTCTGACTATGTCCATATTAGGATTTTAGGACCATATATATAATTTGAAGGTACATATAGTTTATAGTAAATAAAATTTGGATTAAACAAACCAAATCATATGATTTTGACAGAATTCATGTTGAAATATTATTTATATATATAAATATATAATTTTTTCTGTTTCTCAAGAAAAAATCTATTGAAATTTAATCATAATATATAAAACGATTTAGAGATGTCTATTACAACAAAAAATCAAATATCAACCAAATCAAACTCTTCAAAACACATTCTAATCTCAAAGAAGTTATGACTTTCAAAATATGGCTATTTGGGTTAAAGTTTAGGTGCTAATATAAAGATTTTAAATTCTGTGAAAAACCATTAATACATAAGAAAATAACTAGACAAAGACAGTATATTTGGAAGAAAATAAGTAAGAATTGTTTATTTTGTATGAAAATGTGATATATTACATTGGTGGAAACCTTAGAGGCAATGTTATGGTGATTTTAATCGTCTGGCATATGATATTTTTTTTTGTCATTCTGCTACTTTTTGCTTCACAATGATTGCAGTGCGAAATATACCTTAATTTAATTTTGAATGTTTTTTTTTTTTTTTTAATTTTATTTTAGAGTTTTGAGTGATAGATTTCTCAAAAAACCCTTTTTTTCTCTCTCGCTTCCCTTGTTCGCCCTAGCCGTCAAGCCCTTCTTCTCCCTCGTTTGGCCGGTGATTGGTGGCTTTAATAGCACCGTCGCCGGTCCCGGTCTTCGTAGTTTCAGTTTCTTCTCTTAGTTGTAGATCCGTGGTGTCTTGCTTGCTTCTTAAACCCTAGTCTCGTCGTCTCCTCCCTTTGTCTCTTCCTCCCGTGTTTGGTAGTTCGTTCCGTTGTGGTGACTATCGGGAAAAGGGCCTATTTCCACCCCTACTATTTGGACGGTTCCGTTTCCTACCCACACAACGAGTTGGTGCTTATTTCAACAGTTTTCGTAACAAATTTCAAATTAACCACCCATACTCTGTGTTTATAGTTGAATTCAACATTGACTCAAACGGACGTTAGTCAACCGTTAAAATAGTAGAGTCGGATGACACGGTGGCAATTCAAAAGAGGGAAAATGTCCTATTTCCACCCTTACTATTTGAACGGTTCCTTTTCCTACCCACACAACGAATTGGTGCCTATTTCAACAGTTTTTGGAACAAATTTCAAATTAAGCAGAATATCAAGCTATGGGAATGCTCACTGCTGAGCTCTAGTGGATCTTATAGTTGTGATGACACGTCCAATGAGCGTGTTTTGTGATATCAGGCCTATGATTAGAATCGGATCAGGCCTTTGATTATGGGCTTTATTAGGTTTAATATTTAGGGTTAGTGTTCCCTAACTAGTATATATATGTATGTAGCCGTCTTATATCAATAACACAGATTTTCCAGCATCGTCTGACAACTTTATATTCAGGATTTTATTTAGATTTCGGTGATAAAAGATAAATCTAGCAGCACTAAACATTAAACACATTCTACTAGAATGAAACACCAATAAAAACAGATCTGTATAACTTATATAGTTCATGGCTAATGTCAATTATTCAAGATAATTCAAAAACCTAGCAGATCAAAAACAGATCTGTATATATTTAAAGGAAATTTTCAACTTTACCATTAAAAACAGAGCGGACCAATTATTATTTTTTGTTATTCCATATCGGACCGAGATATGAATTAATTCACTCACTGTCAACTGATATTTTAGATGAAAATCTATGTAGGCATGTAGCTTTACATTTTTGAATGAGCTACTCTTTTTTCAAAATTACTTTCATAGCTATATAGGTGACTAAATTTATTTTATATCTAAATCATGGATATAAAGCCAACTACTGTTTTGTAGTTAATGCTAAATCCTCTTAAAATAATCTTGTCATCACAAATTTCAAATGGTTAATTTGAAATTTGTTCCAAAAACTGTTGAAATGGGCACCAATTCGTTGTGTGGGTAGGAAAAGGAACCGTTCAAATAGTAAGGGTGGAAATAGGACATTTTCCCTCTTTTGAATTGCCACCGTGTCATCCGACTCTACTATTTTAACGGTTGACTAACGTCCGTTTGAGTCAATGTTGAATTCAACTATAAACACAGAGTATGGGTAGTTAATTTGAAATTTGTTACGAAAACTGTTGAAATAAGCACCAATTCGTTGTGTGGGTAGGAAACGGAACCGTCCAAATAGTAGGGGTGGAAATAGGCCCTTTTCCCGGTGACTATCATGGAGGATGGGTGGCGGATTGGTGTTGTTCTTGACGGATCTGTTCCCCGGTGGATCTGTCTCTTTTCTCCGATCTGGTTTTGGAGGTTAAAGGTTTCCATTTTGTTTCTACTGTCTTGACATTCTGTTTGCGTCAGCTCTGTTCTCGTTGGATTGGGAGTCGGTGTCGGTTTGTATTATGCTCCGGCTGGTTCCGTGGTGGATCTAAAGAACTTTGTTCTTGGATTTTATGTTGGCTTTGCGGTGGTGCTGTCTCGTGAGAGGCGTGTATTTAGCCAACGTTTCGTTTCCATGAATTATTTCTGACGTTCCCATTGGTTTTGTAGCAACGGCCTCATTGTGTGTGGTTTCTTCCTCGGTAGGTGAGTTTGAGTGTCTTCTAGGGTTTGTGTTTGCATGTTATTCGACTTGTTGTGTTGTGAAGCCTTAGGTTCTGCTTTAGGGTAGGCTTGTTTGACTCCTAGCTCTGCCTTCTCTCTGTCCTCCTCCTGGTTTCCGGTGTGGTGTTTTGGTGTAAGGTTCTGGTTGTGGGTTCTTCATTCGGATGCTTGCTTTCTATAATGGCATCTACTAGCTCTCTCTTGGAACCTCTTTTGGTTCTCGGCTGAGTTCTGGACGTTATGGTGGGTCGACCACTTGCCCTTCTCTTTGCATGGCGTAACCAGTTTTTAGTCCGTAGGTGGATTTGGCTGGGTCTACGAAGGTCCGTGTGTAAGGATGAGTGGTCCTAATTGGCGTTTCCCCTCTCGGATCTCAAGGCTTCTCCTTGATCCTTTGCCTTTTCACTTTCATTGGCTCTATAGTGGTTGTGGAGGTTTGGTTCTGTGTTCTGTTCTTCTTGCCTCGTCGTCTTCGTTTCTGCTGTGGAGATGGTTGTGTGAGCTCGGTTCTTTTCGAGGCTCCTGTCTGTTGCCTCTCCTCGGCGCCAAACTGTTCTATGGAAGTGCTAGTTGACTGCTTGTAGGGAAGAGTTTTCAGTATTGTTGCTTTGGAGGCTTTAGCTGTTATTCCTTTAGTAGTTATCTTTGTATCTTATGTTCTTAGGCTTGTTATGTTTGTCCGCCTCTTTTGGCCTTAAGTTTCTGGGGGTTTCTATGTACCCGCCAGCTTTGTCTCCGAAAGGATTTCGATCCTTGTCGGTTTTGTGTAACTCAATCGTATTCTATCAATGAAATCCTTTAGACGAAAAAAAAAAAAGAGTGATAGATTTCTTTGAGTGTTTATCTAAGTAGATCACGATGATGATACAGTAGCGAAATGTGTAGAACACTTCTCTTATAGAGAACTTTAATCAAACTTTTAAAGTCGAATATTTTATTATCTAAATCATTATAACAAATATCTGATGAAGACGTTGAAATTATAGGAAACCAATTAGGTAACAACAATTGCTTCTACTAGTTGTCAAATTTTTTTTTTTTGTTAACCAGCTTGTGCGGATACCGAATACATGGCATTAAACATTTTTCTCACCGCGAACTAGGAAGTATTTGAGTCCAACCCTTGCACTTAAATCACTAGCCCCACACAATATTTGTAGTTATCAAACTCATTAATTCTTGGCTAGATTGAACAATATCCAATGTTTTAAGATCACTGGCCAGTAGAAAAATACATTATTGTTCTATGTTTTCTGAACATTTAAATTCCTAGATAGTCCAAGTTTCATGTTAGTTAATTTATTTCTCCTTTTACCTAAACGTTGAATTATTCAATAAATATGATATTGAAAGTATTTTATCTATATATTTTTTAATCTAAAAATTATGCGGTTTTAGGCACTTAATCTCCACTTAATTTAGGGACTTGAGTATTATAATTGGTCCTCTAAGTGATCGAGATCTTTGGACACAAAGTCTTCTTGGTACATCGGTTGAACTATAGATGTTTGGTACATCACAAATTTTGTTCATATTATTTCAGTTTATTAATTAGAAAAATATATTTTTAGTGTATTTATAAAGGGTATAATAGAAATTTACATAGTTTTCTGAATTTATGTGAAAGATGTCAACATAAAACTTTTCTGAATTTATGATTTTAATATATAATTTTTAACCAATGCCCATTGTATCTATTTAAATGGAATGAAATTAAAAAATCTTCAGTTTTGATCCTTGTTCAAAAACGCGGCCAAGGCGGCCGATTACGCGGCGGCTAGTCGCTCGGCGGCAAAGGACCGCCGGGATTAGGGTAAAATCGGATAAAAAATCGGAAATCTTTAAAAAACTTGATTTTTTTTGTTCTTTTAAAGGTTGAAAATGATAGATACTTGATGGATCTAACATTTCTAGCAATAAACACTAAGAAAACAAAAAGAAATGATGAAAACTGAGGAAAAAATCAAGTAACGGCGGATTTAGGGTTGCAGATCTCTCATTTTCTAAAGGTAGAAGATGAGGGTATTTTGGTAATTT